GAACAAAACCCTCCCAAAAAAAAAAAAAAAAAATGGGAGAGGCCGCCCCACGTGGGAAGGTTGTGGGTTCACGTCCTGAGACCTCCCTGTGTCCTGGCTGGGCAGGAAGCGAGGGCCCGCGCAGGAGGGTGGGATCATTCTGGCCAGCTATGGTTGTGACAGGGTGGGGATGGTCACCCCTACCAGGTAAACGGTGACCCCCTCCAAGGGCGGCTCCCTGGCTCTCCCACGCCCAGGTGTTCAGCACCGGCCGCCTGCTCCCGAGACCCGGGGGCCCGGCTCCCCTGGCTGCCCGCTCCTCGGGCTCCGGGAGGCCGTTGTGGGGAGCCGCAGCCATCCTGCCAACTGGGGCTCCGCTTCTATTTTTACTCTGGATTTGGGGACGGGTGGGCCAACCCAGCCAGCAATGCCCTTTAAAGGCGCCCCTGCGTGGGCACTGCAGCCCGCAAGGCCTTAAAAGGCAAAACTCCCTCCTGTCGCTCCTGACGGCCTCTGTCTCCGCTGCACATCGCCCGAGGGTGGCGGGGACTCCTGGGGACAGGCAGGGACGGCCACGCCTGGAGAGCTGGCATGGTGCCTGTCGCGAGGGCCCCCGACACCCAGCTGCCACATATTGGGTGTTGGTTAGTCGGGGGGGTCCTGGACGGCAACCTCACTGCTGTCTGCACCCCTGTGGCTCCGAACCCGCCTTCCATTAGGCCCGCAGTTAGGGATCGGGTATTGTTCTAGTCTCACTTTTTCTTTCTTTCTTTCTTTTTTTTTGGAGAGGGTTTTGCTATAGAGCGCGTGCGCTTGCCAGATAGACAGAGACAGAGAGACAGAAAGTGAGAAATCACCCCCCAGGGGGGATGGCCGCGCTGCAATCCCTTCTCCTCCATTCTCTTCTCGGGATCTGGGGCATGCACACACACACGCACCTGGCATGATTTTCAAGCCACCAGGTCTAGGACTTGAACCTTAGTTTGCCATGTAGTCGTCCAGTGCCTTAACCACTATGCCGCCTCCAGGCTCCTATTGTGGCATGTTTTTTTTTTTCCTTTCTTCTTTTTTTTTTTTTTTTCTTTTTGAGACGATTTTGCTGTGAGGTGCATGCGCTCACCAGAAAGACAGAGACAGAGAAGAGAAAAGCGAGAAATCACCCCCCCAGGGGGGATGGCCACGCCGCAGTCCCTTCTCCTCCATTCTCCTCTCGGGATCTTGGGCACGCACGCACACGCGCCTGATGTGAGCTTAAGCCACCAGGTCCGGGACTTGAACCGCGGTCGATTACGTGGGAGTCCAGCAACATAACTATTACGCCATGTGATGGTCCCTTTTTTTTTTCTCTTTTTTTTGGAATAGGGCACATGCAGCACTTCTCAGAGAGAGACAGAGAGGCAAAGTGAGAAATCATCCCCCTGGGGTATGGGCATACTGCAATCCCTTCTCCTCCATCCTCCTCTTGGGAGTTTGGGTGTACACACACACATTTATAGATGCTTTTCTTTTTAAAAGAATTAATTTATTTAACTTTATTCTTATTTATTTATTTTAATCTGACCAGAGAGGGACAGAGTGAGAGAGAGAGAGAGAGAGGGAAGGTGAGAAAACAAACTGCCAGGTCTGGGATTCGAACTGCATCCAACCACGTGGGAGTCTAGCACCCTTTACCACCACGCCACTTGCCAACTCCCTCTTTCACGTTTTTCAAGCTGCCAGATCCGGGACTCTAACTGTAGTTGGCCATGTGAGAATCTGTCAGCTTGACCCCTGTGCCACCTGCTGGCCTGACTGCCTCTTTTTTTTTCTTTTTTTTTTTTCCTTATAGGGTGTGTGTGTTTGTGGGAGAGAGACAGAGAAAGTGAGGGACCACCCCCAGGGAGGATGGCACGCTGCAATCCCTTCTCCTCCATTCTCCTCTTGGCATTGTGGGTAATGCACGCACACACACACCTGGCATGAGTTTCAGGCTGCTAAATTTGGGACTCGAACCGCCGTCGACCACGTGGGAGTCCAGCACCTCAACCACGACACCAGGCTACATGCCTGGTGTGTTTTTCTTTCTTCTTCTTCTTTTTTTTTTATCATTATTTATTTAATTTTAATTTACTTATTCATTTATTAATTTTTAAAAGAATTATTTATTTATTCCCATTTGTTATTGTTATTTTTTTTTCTTTATTTGACGAGAGAGAGAGAGAGGGAGAGAGAGAGAAAGAAAGGGAAAGTGAGAAAGCACGCCCTCACCCCAGGGGTGACGGCCACACCACAGTCCCTTCTCCAAATTCTCCTCTTGAGATTTTGGGCACACCTGCTGCCTGGTGTGTTTTTCAAGTTGCCAGATGCAGTACTCAAACCACAAAGTTGGCTATGTGGGTTTCAGCCACCTTAACCACAATACCGGTCAGTCATGTGGGAAGGTTCAGGGTCTTAACCACCACGCTACCTGTTGGTCCCGCCTGGTGTGTTTTTCAATCCACTGGGTCTGGGGCTCAAACTATCAAGTCAGCCACGTGGAATCCAGCCGGCTTGATCACCTTGTCATCTGCTAGCTATGGGTTGGTCTTTTCTGTTTTGGATAACAAAAATACTTGAGATTGGGTTATTTAATTATAGAGATTTTTGCAATAGGGCGCGTGCACTCACCAAAGACAGAGAGAGACATAGAGATAGAAAGCGAGAAATCACCCCCCAGGGGGGATGGTCACGCCACAATCCCTTCTCCTCCATTCTCCTCTCGGGATCTTGGGCACGCACGCACACGCGTCCGGCAGGCCGTTCAACTGGGTCCGGGACGCGAACCGCGGTTGACTACATGGGAGTCCAGTGACATAGCCATTACGCTAACGGGTCCCGTGACCTTGTCTCTTTAAAAAAATATGAAAGGGGCCGGCAGATGGCATGATGGTTAAGGGTGCTGGCCGCCCACGTAGCCGACCATGGTTCAATTCCCGGACCTGGCAGCTTCCTTTCTCACTTTCCCTCTCTCTCTCTGTCACTGTGATCCTCTCTAGTCAAATTAAAATAATAAATTAATCAAATAAATTAAATGATTGTTTTAAAATTTTTTAATAAAAAAAAATTGGGGACAGTTTTTTGCTATAGGGCACATGTGCTTGCCAGAGAGACAGAGAGACAGAAAACGAGAAATCACCCCCCAGGGGGGATGGCCACCACAATCCCTTCTCCTCCATTCTCCTCTCGGGATCTTGGGCATGCACGCACACGCGTCCGGCATGAGTTTAAGCCACCGGGTCCGGGACTTGAACCATGGTTGACTACGTGGGAGTCTAGCGACATGGCCATTACGCTAACTGCTGGCCATATTTTTTGCCTCTGAGCGACCTCCTTGCCTCCTGGAGGCTGCACCCTGCATTTTGCACCCCAGGCCAGCCCTACCCCTTGCAGGTCACCCCCGCCCCAAGCCGCCCTGAGCCCACTGGCTGTTTCCACCCTCAGGGCCATGTTTACCGGTGGCATGAGGGAGGCCAACCAGGACGTCATCGAGCTCAAGGGAGTGTCCGCCCGGGGCCTGCGCCACATCATCGATTTCGCCTACAGCGCCGAGGTCACCCTGGACCTGGACTGCGTGCAGGACGTGCTGGGGGCCGCCGTGTTCCTGCAGATGCTGCCGGTGGTGGAGCTGTGCGAGGAGTTCCTCAAGGCCGCCATGAGTGTGGAGACGTGCCTCAACATCGGCCAGATGGCCACCACCTTCAGCCTGGCCTCGCTGCGCGAGTCGGTGGACGCCTTCACCTTCCGCCACTTCCTGCAGATCGCCGAGGAGGAGGACTTCCTGCGGCTGCCCCTGGAACGCCTGGTCTTCTTCCTGCAGAGCAACCTCCTGCAGAGCTGCGCCGAGATCGACCTGTTCCGCGCCGCCGTGCGCTGGCTGCAGCACGACCCGGCCCGGCGTCCCCGCGCCAGCCACGTGCTGTGTCACATCCGCTTCCCGCTCATGCACTCTTCGGAGCTGGTGGACAGCGTGCAGACCCTGGACATCATGGTGGAAGACGTGCTGTGTCGTCAGTACCTCCTGGAAGCCTTCAACTACCAGGTGCTGCCCTTCCGGCAGCACGAGATGCAGTCCCCGCGCACGGCCGTGCGCTCCGATGTCCCCTCGCTGGTCACCTTCGGGGGCACGCCCTACACGGACAGCGACCGCTCCGTGAGCAGCAAGGTGTACCAGCTAGCCGAGCCCGGTGCCCGCCACTTCCGCGAGCTCACGGAGATGGAAGTGGGCTGCAGCCACACGTGCGTGGCCGTGCTGGATAATTTCGTCTACATGGCCGGGGGCCAGCACCTGCAGTACCGCAGCGGCGAGGGCGCGGTGGACGCCTGCTACCGCTACGACC